AGGTAATCTTCAAACACTTCATAGACCTAGAGAATATGTCATTTAAATAACTTAGAATTCTGTTGACTTGAGACACAATTGCTCCTGGCTGCACCAATTGATCCAGAGAGAATGTTGGACATCTAAGACATTTCCATTTGGAAGTTTGTCTTTTTGGCACAAAATGGCCTACTGGGCAAAGAACTGCCCTTGCCTTGATGGCTGACAGTACAAAAGCAATGCTGTCCTTTCTGGACAAGCGGGACACAAGGAAAGTGACCATTGTACTCTGCCAAGACAGAGTAAGATGGTCTTTCAAAATGCCTGCTTCTAAAAATGGTCTGTCAGATATTCTAGGCCTGTAGCCAATTTGAATGCACCAACAATGCTGAGAAACTTTAGGTGACTGTCCTGGCTGCCAGCTGTCTTGGTCTACTCTTGCAAGATTCCCGAAAGTTGCTTGCATCCAACTACCATTTCTCAGGTACCATTATGTTGCTTCTCAGGTCTTTGATGGGATTGAAGACTCGCAGTTATAGTTACAACTTAGTATATATAATATCTTAGATAGAACATATTAAGTATTAGATTCAGGTTCTTTAGGAAAGGACACCTTTAAATGATCTTTATAACACGCCATTTACCTATGCTCTATACTTCTCTGGATTGTAGTATGTGTTTCTTGCTTGATATTGTTTCCATTGGTTGTAGTTACATCTTATCTAGGTCATTATCCCTCATCATTTCTGGACAATATTTGATAACCATTCCTTTGTATATAGTCTTGTATTAGTTTAGAACCTTCTTATTTAGAAAAAAGGGGGAGATGTAGTGGGTAGCCATTCCAGCTTGGATCTGGAAGTTCCAACCTCCATTGAGACTCAGGCAACTGTCACGCCTACAAGGCGGGGCCAGGGGAGGTGCCTGGAGACCCGAGAGCTGAATGATCCAGCGCTCTCTCTCTGTGCACTCTCTCTGTGCCCGGACACTGAATGTTGGAGGTGGACTGAGCAGAGCTCCAGAGAACACTGCTGGATTGTGATACACATTTTCCAACCCTGCGAACTATCTTTCACTTAATTTGTGAGTTATGCCATTAAATAAATATCCTTTTAACTACGTGGAGTGGCCAAAATAATTTCTCCAATATCATTTCCTGTTCATGATCACACAGCCTGCTCTCCTACCTGCCACAGGCAACAAGGGGCAGTGGGTGGAGAGGGCATCTCTACTCACTCACCAGACCATATGTCAGATGAGGGGCAGGCAGCACTCCTACTCTCAAGCCCTCAGGGCCAGTTCACCCACACTCCTGCCAACAGAAAAGCTCTACCATGCTGCCCAGATGAGGTTCAGGATGTGCCCATCTGAATGCTGTTGCCAGTGAGGGGCAGGACTAGCTCTCACACTCTCAGGTCTGAGGGGCCAGCTCTCCAGCCAGCCACAGATGGTGAGCGGTGAGGAGCATCAGGGAGTCATCTCTCCATTGCCCATGCTCGAATTCTTGGGGCTGCCTCACCTGAGCCCCTGTTGACAGGGTCAGCTCTACTGTGTTGCCCATATAAAGTTGCATCAGGGCCCACTTTCCAAGTGCTGCAGTTGATGAGAGACTGGGTCAGTTCTCCCACTTGCCACAAGTGGTGAGGGGCAAGGGGAGGACATCTTTCCCTTACCCACACCACCACAGGGCAAATGAGGAGGACAGGAGCAACTTTCCCACTCTGACACATTCAGTGCTAGCTCCCTGGTACCCCTACCCGACCCCCAACCATCTAACCCTCCCTAAACCCCCACTACTCTCACCTCCACCACCCACCGTGAACAAGGAAAGCTCTATTGTATGGCCCATATGAGGTTTAGGACCTGCTCTCCCTGGTGCAGCAGCACCAGAGGGACAGGACCAGTTCTCCTAGGGTTGCAGCCGATGGGGCGGGGGTGGGGGGTGGGGGGTGGACAAAGCTGTACAGTCCTATCTCTTCAGACTTTGATGTTAACAGGTGCCATGGACATCAACATAGACAGAAGCTGCAGCAGGGCCACAGACCCAGTCATAGGCCTTGGAAGCAGCTGAGGCCTAGACATCACCATGGCCCAAGGTGACAACAGGCCACCTACCTCAGCCCATTCTTCACCACCTGCCTTCACCACTTCAGATTGCCCTCTCTCCACAGGACATGAACCATTCTGTCTGTCTGTCTGTCTCTCTCTGTCTCTCTGTCTCTGTCTCTCTGTTTCTCTCTCTGTCTCTCTGTCTCTGTTGCTCTCTCTCTCTCTCTCTCTCTCTCTCTCTCTCTCTCTCTCTCCCACCATATATTTGCTCACATAATAGTGCCTGACTGCCTGGAGCTACAAAGGGACCAGGTTGGAGAGTGTTTTCACCTCACTGCCAGGGCAGGCCATCCTGGCAGGGGTGTGGGTCTTCTTCTACTCAGTCTTAATGATGCTGGGCAAGTCTTTTGATTTTTGTGTTTTTATGCATTTTATGTGTCTGTGTGTGCCTGTGAGTATATGTGTTCCTAGTGCTTTTTCTTTTCTTTCCTTTCTTCTGTTTGTTTTGTCTTATTCTCTATTTTAGTGGCTTGTTGTTTTCTGAAGAAAGAGACAAAGAAGTCACAGAGTTGGATGGGTGTGGGGGGTGCTAAGAGAAGATAAGGGAATGGAAACAACAACAATAATAATATATTATAAGAAAAATTACTTTTCAACAACAGGAATAGAAGTCACATGTACAGGAAAGCCTAGAGCTCAGGTTCTGTTTCAACATCCCTCTGTATTTCTAAGTTCTCGAGTCTCAGGGTATCATTTAGAGACTTGTTTTCTCTTGGAATGATTTCAATATTTTTCTTCTCCCAATTTCAAATACACATTTATTTTGCCAACCATTTTTAATGGGACAATGGGAATAATAAGAATTCAAATAGTTAAATGTTCTCAAATATGTAATTAAATAAATGAGAGGATAAAATTAAGCTGACTTTCACTTTGGTAGAACAATCTTGAATGGTCTTTTCAGAGTGAAGGTGTAATTTCAGAAACATAAATTCTCACTCCCACTATTTATGTCCTCTGTATTTAAAGATTCTAGAATGTAGTATTTGTCAAATAAACCATTGACTTCTTTACTATTTTCATTGAGTTTTTCAGGTGCACTTTTTGTTTATTTGTGTTGGTGTGTATATTATAAATACATGTGAGTACATGTGAAGAGTAAATAGTATGTGTGCCCATTAACATTGAACAGAATCAAAAGAAGTCACTGGCTATAACCACCTTTTGCTTTCTACCTTATTTTCTTAAAACTAATCTCCAATGAACCTTGAATTCACTGTTCATCAGATAAATTCACAATGAATTTAAACTCTGGGATCACAAATCTCCTGTGTACCGGTACTGTATTAAAAATGTGCTTCCACCATGTTAGCAAGGGCATAAAAGTTTCTGGAAAGTAAATCGCAAATCATCAGGTTGGCATATCAAGTCCCTTCATCCAGTGAAAGTGGAATATTGTAGTGGGTAGCTGTTCCAGCTTTGCCCTGGAAGTACTACCCCAACTGAGGCTTCAGGCAACTGTCACACCTAGGAGGGGGCCAAGAGAGTAGCCCTTTAGACCTGAGATCTGGAAGTGCTGGCTCTCTTGGTTCCTGGATCCTGGACACTGGAGGTAGACCAAGCAGAGTTCCCCAGAGAACACTGCTGGACTGCACTTCACCTCTCCTGGACCCTGTAACCTATCCTTTTACTTGTAAGTTACCCCACAAAATAAACCTCCCCTTTAACTATGTGGAGTTGCCTTAATACTTCCACCAATACAATATTTTAAAATTTATCAGAAACCACTTTCAATCTCTTCCACATTTTTCTCATGGCATTCATCATTTCCTTATTTCTGAAAGTGTAAACCATAGGATTGAGCAATGGTGTCAGGACATTGACAAATATAAGCATATTTTTCTCAAAGGACAATGCAGATGCAGGTCGTGCATATATTAATATGGATGGGACAAAAAACAAAAGCACAACTGTAATGTGGGATCCACAGGTTGAGAGAGCTTTACGGCGACCTTCAGAACTGTGACCTCTCAGAGAAAACAAGACAACACCATAGGAGACAAGCAATAAGGAGAAGATGATGATGCAGATAGCCCCACTGTTGGCAAACACCAAAAGGACAAATATATGAGTGTCAGTGCAGGCAAGCTTCAGCAACGGAAACAAGTCACACATGTAATGATCAATGACATTGGGTCCACATAAAGGCAGCTGCAATGTGAAGATAATTTGTATGATAGAATGCAAGAATCCTCCAGCCCACGATATTGTCACCAAAATACTACAGAGCCTCCGGGTCATGATGGAAGAATAGTGAAGGGGCTTGCAAATGGCCACATAGCGGTCATAGGCCATGGATGCCAGGACAATCACCTCCGCCCCTGTGAAGAAGTGGACTGTAAACAGTTGTGTCATGCAACATTCAAAAGAGATGGTCTTCCTTTCATAAAAGCAGTCTAGAATTATCTTGGGTGTGACAGTAGAAGAAGTGCATGCATCCAGGAAGGACAGGAATGCCAAGAAAAAGTACATGGGGGAGCCCAGCAGTGCAGGGCTATAGATGATGGTCACCACAATTACTATGTTGCCCACAATAGTTGCAAGGTAGATTAACAAAAATACAACAAATAGTATTTTTTCCACACCTGGGTTCTGTGAAAGCCCCAGGAGTATGAACTCAGTGACAAAGCTCTGGTTTTGCATGATTCATAAGAAGACAGTGAAAGTAAACTTTATTAATATAAAATCTTCAATTACAACAAAAAAAGATGCTTATAAATTTATAATATCACCATCAACAAGATGGTACATCCTTATGAAAATTACCTTGATTGAGTCTCTTTCAACTGAAAACAAAATACTAGAAAAATTCTGAAGGCAATTGTTGTGTAACCTGAAGAATTGAAGCAGAGGTGAATTATTAAATTATTGAAAGTAATCACAATTCAAACAACATACTCAAAGACACTTACTTGTGTGAGTTGTAATAAATAGTTCGTCTTTGAATTATCAGCTTTTGCAAATCTGCCGAGTTTTCTTTAAGAGAAATATAAAAACAATATTGAAACTATAACCTAGATATTAACCAAAGACCAGAATATATAAATCATGACTGTAATCTTCATGGAATGAGACAGGTCTGAGCAGCCTGCACTGACTTTTTATAGCACTGCCTTATGCACCACTAGAGGAAGAGCAAAGTGTGCTTTTGGGTACACACAAAACCTTGGCTACTTATTAACCTTGCTTCACACTAGGAGGCAGATTGTAACCTCAAATGAATTATTATTCACAAAAAAAATCTTTAGAAAGTGTCTAGCAATACACAAGATGAATATATTGGAAGAGTTAAAATTACATTTCTACTTCATTTTGAAGTGTGACCAGATCAATATGAAAAATAGTCTGTCATCCTCAAATACCAAAAAAGAACAACAACAAAAACTCATAAATCACAAAGAAGCAAACACAGAAAATGCTACTGTTCAGGTCTCAAGCTCTTATTCAACAGTATGTGACAGAGGTTATTGTTATAATTTTTATGATTATTATTATATATATTATATATTATAATTTTTATAATTGTTACTTATACAATATTATGATCTAAGTTACAAGACCAAACAAAGAATGATACACCTGGGGTTTTAAGTAACATGTGCTCCAAGACCTTTCAGGTCTCTGAGGAATCAACTTGTTGAACAGTGAGATTTTTTTTCTAAGTTATAGCTGCTAGTGGATATATATGTTATGATGGATATTCTTTCTGTTCTTCTCTGCATTAACATGAAAGCATCTTCTTATGTTCTTTATATGTTAATGATGCATCATGACAGGGTAAATAGTAAATGTTGAATGTTCAGAAGTATATGTACCAAAAACTCAACATATGAAAATTCATAACAACACATATCTGCAGAATAGAAACCATTCTCTGAATTTGAATTAGACTCTTGAGACTTAATTATTTGCTACTTAGTTATGTAATGTTTACCTGTTAAACAACTATTGTTTGAAAGGTTGATAATAAAAATAGTTGGAAATTTGTGTGAAATTATTATAAAATATTCATAAAGTGCTTATATGCCCATCTTTAAGAACTATGAAAAAAGTCAAATTGAAATTGTTAAAATGTTACTCATAGTCACATGATCTAAAAACTCTACATGCAATTCATTTACTTGAAAACCTATCTGTCTCACTCATAGGCAGTTCTTTAACAGACACTGAGATAATATTCTGTCTTATGTATTTATTAACTTCCTTGTCATGGCTTCAAAGAGCATCTGTTGCCTTTCTTGTCTACACAATTGAAATCTTTTAATAAATATGACCTTTATGCATGAATGATTCCAAATACATGTATATATGAATATATATGTGGACTTATACATATTTGATATTTCAATCTCTGAATAAAAATAATGCAATTTTATTGAAAAATGAGATAATTTTGATGACTGCAATGTAAAAAGAACAGAAATAATCAGGCAGTGGTGGCACATGCCTTTAATCCCAGCAGTTGGGAGGCAGAGGCAGGCAGATCTCTGTGAGTTTGAGGCCAGCCTAGTCTACAAAGTGAGTTCCAAGAAAGCCAGAGCTACACAGAGAAACCCTGTCTTAAATAACCAAAAAAAGAAGAACAGAAATAAATTTACTCACTAATGGGTTATTCTAAGATGTTCTCAGAATAGTTACTCACTAGAATCTATAATCTGAAATCTAAATCTATTCAGAGGCTACTACCAAGAAAACAGGAGTAAACTAACCTTAAAAGGTCATTGGATCAGAAAACATTATTAATGATAGACTGGAAAAATCACTACACAATTGTCGTCTAGCCATAAAGCAAGACAGACAAAGAACTGTAGTAACTAAGAAGACCATAAAGCATGGTTACCCATGCATGAAATGTCAGAGGAAAACTCAATATCTCTTAATAGGATGGTATTTGTACAAAGAAGAAAAACTGTTACAGAGTTATGAGATTTTTTTCCTCAAGTCTAGATCCTTATCTTTTTCTCTGGCACAGGTCAGGATATTTTATACTCCTAAAGTTCTGTAATCTTTCACTTTCAGTTGTGCAAATAAATTTATTTGGAAGGGATATCCAAAGTCCTTTCATGAAAATAATGATAGAATTAGAAATGTAAGAAGAGATGTGAAATAGAGATTGCCCACAGAATGGCAGATAGAAGATCTTTACATTCTTCCTTTCCTCCAAATCCAATCCCTCAGTCTCATGCCCAGTTCTGCTGCCTCCAAGTTCTTTCTGCCACCATCTGTAGAAGATCACAAAGATCTTCTCCTATAGCCTCCTTCATCATCCCATCCCATTGTCTCAGCCACAAACTCCCAGAGACATTCCCTAGTAACCCACTGTCCAAAGGAAAGAGATAGGCAATCTTCACTATCCTTCTTCCCTTTGAAATCCAATCCACCAGTCTCATCCCAGCTCTGTTTCAGCATACCTGCCTTAGCCTCTCTTCCCTCTCTGTCCTCGTTTTCATGGGCCTATGCAGATCCTGGTGCCATACCTGGCTTTTTTCCCTCCTGTGGACTCCCTCAGACACCTCCTTCTAACCCATTCCAATTCCTAATACATAGAAACACATTCTGTCCCAGAACTTTTCTTGGTGTGATGTCAGAAGCATTCTTATCAGGCAACTCACAGACACTAAGAACTAGAGAGGGCAACAGATACCAATGAAAGGAACAATCATCCAACAAAGAATAGAAAAAATATATATATTAGGACCAAGAATTACAACCATCACAAACATAGATGCTTAGACCCCAAAGTAAAAACAAATTCAGTAATAGCCATCACAGTTTGTCCCCACTAGATCCCAGCAAGCCTACTACAACAGGCCCTAACAATTGCAATACAGTTGAAGCACAAGACAAAGACTTGAAAAATAGACTCTATGAATATAATTGAGATCCTCAAAGAGGAAATGAATAAATCCTTTCATGAAATCTGTGAAAACACAATCAAGCAGTAGAGTGAAATAAATAAAATAGTAAAATACCTGAAAGTGGAAACAGAACCAATAAAGAAAATCAGACAGAGGGAAAACTTGAAAGGAAAGATTTAAGAACTCTAACAGGAACCTCAGAGCCAAACCTGACCAATAGAATACAAGAGATAGAAGTGTGAATCACAGGCACTGAAAACAAGATGGAAGAAAGGGTTACCTCTGTCAAAGAAAATATTAAATATAAAAAAATCCAGGAACACATCGTTGAGGAAATCAGAGACACCATGAAAAGACCAGATATATTCATAATATGAAAAGAGGCAGTAGAAGAAACCCAGTCAAAGTCACAGAAAATATTTTAAATAAAAACATAGAAGAAAATTTTCCTAACCTAAGGGGGAGATGCCTATCAAGGTTCAAGAACCATATAGAGCCAAAAATAGACTGAAGCATAAAAGAAAATCTCCACAGCATATAATATTCGATAACAACATAAAGTCCAAAGAGAACATTAAAAACTAAAAGAAAAAAAAGACCAAGTAATATATAAAGATAGACCTATTAGCATAACAGCTGATTTCCAAGGGCAGCTATAAAAGCCAGACAGGCCTTGACATGTTCTATAAACTCTAAGAGACCAAAGATGCCAGCACAGACTACTGTACTTAGCAAAAATTTCAATCACATTGGATGGAGAAAAAGGCATTCCATGATAAAAACCACATTCAAGCACTATTTATCTACAAATACAGCCCTTCAGATGGTAATATTAGGAAAACTTCAATCAGAAGAGGTTAACTACATCTACAAAAATATAAGGAATAAATGATATTAGAACAACAAATCAAAAGATGGAGGGGAAACCCACACTACAACAACAAAATAACAGGAATCAGCAAACACAGCCCATTGATAACTCTCAATCATTTGTCTCAATTTCCCAATAAAAAGACACAGACTAAAAGAATGGATTTCAAAACAGAATCCATCCTTCTGCTGCATCCAAGAAACACACATTAATATCATGGATCACTTCAGGCTACAAAGATGGAAAAATATATTCCAAACAATTAGTCATAGGAAGCAAGCTGGTGTATCCATTTTAATATCTGACAGCATAGACTTCAAACCAAAACTAATCAGAAGAGATGGGGAAAGACACTTACATACTCATCAAAGGAAAACTTTACCAAGAGGATATTTCAATTCTTGACATCTATGCATCAAACACAAGGACACTCAAGTTTATGAGAAAAAGCTTATAGCTTTTACACATTACAGCTTAAATCACATAATGACACTCATACAGTGGTAGTGGTGACTTCAGTACCCCATTCTCCAACAGACGGGCCATCTAGACAGATACTAATCAGAGTCATGCTGCAGCTAGCTGACATCATAAGCCAAATAGATCTAAAAGATATTTACAGAAAATTTCACCCAAACACAAAAGGATGTATCTTCTTCTGATCAGCTCATGGATATTTATACAAAACTGACCACATATTTGGACACAAACAAGTCTCAACAGATACAAGAAAGTTGAAATAATACCCTGCATCCTATCAGATCACCATGGATTAAAGCTGAATATCAACAATAACAAACCTTAAAAACTCATAAAAAATTAACAACTCACCACTAAATGAAAAATGGGTCAAAGTAAAAATTAAAAAAGAAAATTCAAAAAGAACCTTTAAGACTGTACAAAATTAAACACAACATACCCAAACTCATGGGGTACAATGAAGGAAGATCTAAGATTCATAGCACTAAATGACTTTATAAAATATGTAGGTTTCATATTAATAACTAAATAGAACACCTGAAAGATCTAGAACAAAAAGAAGAGTCAATACATGAAAGGAGACAGTGAAAAGAAATAATCAAACTTTGAGCCAAAATCAATAAAATAAAAAGAAAGAAAGAAAGAAACAAAAATACAAAAAATCAATAGAACAAAAATTGGTTCTCTGAGAAGAAAATCAGTAAGATTAACAAAACCTCAACCAAATTAACTAAAAAGCAGACAAAGAGGATATACAAAATAACTTAATTAGAAACACAATGGAGGATATAAGATCAGGCATTGAAGAGATCCAGAGAATAATAAGGATATACTTCAAAAACCTGTACTCCATCAAATCGCAAAATCTGAAAGAAACTGATAATTTTTTCAGAATATACCACCTACCAAAGTGAAATAAAGATCAGATAAGCAACATAAACAAGCTACAATGATAACATAAACATAGTGAAATAGAAGTAGTAATTATAGTCTCCGTAACAAATATTTTTATCTTCTATACATCTAAGAGAGTACTAATATCCAAAACACATAAAAAAGGTGGTATCAAGAAAATAAAGCAATTAAAAACTGAATAGATCTAAACAAAATTCTCATAAGAGAAAACTCACATGGCTGAGAAGCACTTGAATTTTTCAACAGCCTTAGTCATCATAGAAATGAAAATAAAAACTACTTTGAGTTCTCCTCTTTCACCAGTCATAATTGCCAAGATCAATAAAACAATCCGCAGCTCATATTCTCAAGGAAACAGATTAAGGGTAACACACATCTGTTACCCATGATACTGTGGATTTATGCAGGCACTATGATACTGTGGATTTATGCAGGCACTATGGGAGACAGTGTGGTGGTTTCTCAGTATGTACTTTAAGAACCAGCTATACCACTCTTGGGTGTATAACAAAAAGATGCTTCATCCTTTATCCTACTACAGAGATACTCATTCAACCATGTTCATTGCTACTCTATTCATAATAACCAGGAATTAGAAACAACCTAAATGTCCATCAATGGATGAACTGATAAAGAAAATTCAGTACACATATACAATGGAATACTACATATTCACTGAAGATGAAATTAGCATGTAATTGGATGGAACTAGAACAGTCATCCTAAGTGAGGTAATCCAGTCCCAGAAAAATAAATATGGTATGTATTTTCCTACATGTGTATGTTAACTGTTAAGTCATTCATAAGCATGCTATAATCCATATAATTACAGGTGTTAGGAGTAGAGTGGGGTACTAGGGGTATGTGTGATGTTGGTTGGATCTCCCTAGAAAGGAAAAATAAATTAGACAGCTTTGGGTGGATAGAGAAGTATTAGAGTGACTAGAATGGACAATAAAAATGGGAAATTGGAGGGTCAAATGGGGCAGGGAAGGAATATCAAGAGGGACAGCTAAAACTTAGGGCCATTCGAGGAGTAGTATTGAAAACTAATCAGAAGACACTTCTAAAAATACATATGTATATGACAGTGATCTAAATGTTCAACAAGTAATGGGGGAGACAGAGCCCTAACTTTTCTCATCACCAAATGAAGCTTACAGTTCTAAGAATGTTTACATAAAATGAAGTTTCTGGCCATAGGGGTCCCATGGGAGACACCAAACACATCTGGCTATTGCCAAGACAATTTTTTTCTCTGCACAATCTCATGGTGAGGGCCCTATTGCAGAAGACAACCCTTACAGAATTCATTGTACATGAGAAGTTGTCTGTAGACAATAGAGCCTTCTCCCCTATGTTCTAGAGCCTTTGGTTCAGGAAGGTACTCTGCATGCTGCCAATCTAGCCACAAAACCTTTTATGTATAATGATGACCTAACTGCAAGACATGCTGGTGTAATAGTCACACAAAGCTTGTGGAAGTATCCAACCACCCTTTAATTGGATTTATGACCAAGTTCATGAGATGAAACCAATACAAAACACACTTTGGGCAGCCAAGATTCTAAGGCTAGATAGGCCAAGGACCGAGGGAAAAACCAAATAATATGGTTCTGCTAAAGGAATATAGCCACAAAATCACTCCTATGACACTCTTCTATACCCATAGATTGAAGACTTCCTCAGCTATCATCAGAAAATCGTCCTCCTTTAGCAGTTGAGAGCAAATTACAGAGACAAAGAGCAAGACATCCATCAGGTGCAATGTGCCATATATCGCCATATATCTCTTGGCAGTAAACACAAGCTCTATAATTGGACTTAAGGACAACTCAAAAGGAGAGAAATCATGTATAGTACTAGAAACCTAGCCAACTACCCAGGGCTAGAAAAGTCACGGATCTTATATGAGAACCTATTACCACCACTTTACTACAGCAGTCCAATTCAAAATTGCATTATAACATTTTTCCTTACACTCAGATAAATGTAGCTCTCATGCCTGATAGAAGATATTTTCTTTGCATCAAATGGGAATGCTTACAGAAAACCAAAACCAGCCAGTTTACCAAGATGAACTGATCTTTTTGTGACAAATCTCAGCAGATACATCTACAACTTGAATCTAGCAACCAAGGCTCAGGGGAGATTTCTGAAGAGGTACAAAGAAATTATAAGCGACAGAGGTCAAGGAAGTCTACAGTGAGATTGTGTCTCCCAGAAATGACACAGAAGCTATACCTATGATAGCTCTCAGCAATATGGATGCCTAAGCAAGACCTAAATAATAAGGAGGCAACAATAGATATGCTAATGTGGAAGACAGAAATCCCATGGGCCCTACCTCTAGACTAAGAACTACAGGCAAATAATGATGGCTGAGGGAGGGAGAGTTAGTCCTTCCT